GAAGCAGACTCCCTCCTGAGCAGGGAGCCCGATGTGGGACTCGATCCCGGGACTCCAGGATCATGACCTGAGCCGAAGGCAGTTGCTTAACCAACTGAGCCACCCAGGCGCCCCGGGGCATCGTGTATTTTAATTTTTAAATAATATTGGACTGGAAGAGTTTTTTATTGCTTCCTCTTTCTCACAGAACCAGATTTACACTAATGTGTGCCAACCACTACCTATCCTAGACCAGTAAGCCCTTACCACCTTGTCCATTTCTCCAAACATGGGTGCTAAGCTTGGTTGGTGCTTCATCCCTAGAGAGGAAGAGAATAGTTCAAATTTCCCCATCTGCAGTATAACCTGACTTGGGAAATACTGATTTACAACCATTCTATATAGTTTTTCTTTATATTATTTTCAAAAACCTAGAGAGTAGGAGATTCCATGCCCTACTATAGATTCCCATTACAATGTTTAATGGCTGTACTCATCAGAAAATTGCCCTTCATCTCAGTAAAGGTCCCCTTCACATAATGCTTCTCAACTTTCATTCTTAAAACTCTGTTTAGAAGTCTGAAAATCAAATTCTTCAGTGTCACTGTATGGCTCGCTTCTGAACTCTGTGTTTTTCCATTTTCTCCTTTGGATATTGAACTTAAATTGAAAACAGGAATGGTCTGATGAGTGCTCATGAAATTCTTTGACTTAGGACACTGATACATCGAATATTATGCATAAATTATTACAGGTTATACCTTGATAAGAGCATCAACCACCTTCTTAAACATGTCACCAGACAACAGGCACAAAATCCCAGGTATGTGATGACACTTGATGTGTATCTATATTGGCTAATAAGTACATAGCCTGCCATGTGTTATCAATTAGGTAGTTACTTGACCCATACATTGCACCATTATCTTCACTCAAATCTCCAAGCTCATATTTGAACTCTGCCTCTGAGACTATGGACAGATGTACAGTTTATCTGATCAACGTGAAAAAGAGACCAATTTTGATCGATATTCCAAGCTGTTAGGTAGAAATCTCCTACCTCCTGAAAAGTGATGGATTAGGCATTTTCTATGGGACCTGGTTCGGTAACTGGAAAAAGTAACAGCTAGAACTCCTCCCCTAATGTTTGCCGATACTGCCTTTTAAATACTGCATTCCATTTTATTGTATAATAACCCTATGAATAATCAAATTAGGAAGCTGTTTGACAATTTAAACACAGGCAAATGTTACTAAGTAAAATAATGCAGTTTACTTGCTCCTTTTTTTTAAAATTTTATTTATTTGACAGAGAGGGAGAGCACAAGCAGGGGAGTGGCAGGCAGAGGGAGAAGCAGACTCCCCTCTGAGCAAGCAGCCCAATGTGGGACTCAGATCCCAGAACCCTGGGATCATGACCTCAGCTGAAGGCAGATGCTTAACGAACTGAGCCACCCAGTCACTCCCTACTTGCTCCTTTCTAATTCCTCCCCACTCTAGGAAAGGACTATGTGCTATTTTTTCCACCTGCCCCTACACCCATCCCCCTCCTCTCCTTTCTCACTTAAGACCACATTATTGTAAGTCCTCATCCCACACACTACAGAATAAGTTCTAGGGTACTCACATGCTCATTAATTGAGCTGTACGCCCATGCTGAGGAAGTTTTGAACACTTGCCCTTATTCATGCATCCAAAGGGGCCTGACTGAGGTTTCTCAAAAGGTTAAACATGTAACTACCATCTGACCAGCAATTCCACTCCTAGGTATTTACCCAAAAGAATTCAAAGCAGGGACTCAAACAGGTATCTGTACATCAATGTTCACAGCAGCGTTATTCACAAGAACCACAAGGCAGTAAACTCAGCCCAAGTGTTCATCAGCAGGTGAACGGATCAACAAATGGGGAATATACATACAATGGAATATTATCCAGCCATTAAAAAGAATGAAGTACAGAGATATGCTACAGTTTGGATGGACCTTGAAAACATTATATATAGCGATTACGAGTCAAACACAGCAGGAAAAATATTATATGACTGCACTTACATGAAGTATCCAGAACAGACAAATTCATAGACACAGAAAGGAGAATAGAGGTTACCACAGACAGGGAAGAGGGGAGGAGGGGTTACTGTTGAATGGGTATAGAGTTGATATTGGGTATGATAAGATGTTTGGGGCATAGACAGTGGTAATTGTTACACATATTGTGATTATATTTAATGCCACTGAATTGTACAGTGGCATTAACTGTACACTTAACAAAGGCTAAAATGATAAATATTATGTTATGTATATTTTACTGCAATAAAAAAAAAAATACTTGGGGCAAAAACTGAGCTCTCCTTGAGCTGTACCAGACACGTGAGGTTTAGGGAAAGAGTCACTACCCAGAAGTTAGGAGGATGATAACCTCACCTACATTTTAGGCCCACACCTATCCCAGAGTAGGAGGGGTAGCTAGAAAAGGGACCTGGAGGCTGAAGGTGTAATGTTCCCAGGAAAAGCCAGCTGTGGACACCTAAGAGACAGCTTTCAACCTTCAGGTCACCCAGAGCCTTCCCCACCACACCCAGCCGGGCTTCCACAGGGGTCATTGGTCAGGAGCTCCCCCCCCCAAAAATAGGGGGAGGCCACCTGGATGGCACAGTCTGTTGACTTTCTTTTTTTTTTCTTTTTTTTCTTAAAGATTTTATTTATTTATTTGAGAGAGAGAGAGAATGAGAGATAGAGAGCACGAGAGGGAAGAGGGTCAGAGGGAGAGGCAGACTCCCCGCCGAGCAGGGAGCCCAATGCGGGACTCGATCCCGGGACTCCAGGATCATGACCTGAGCCGAAGGCAGTCGCTTAACCAACTGAGCCACCCAGGCGCCCCAGTCTGTTGACTTTCTGACTCTTGGTTTCCCCTCAGGTAGTGATCTCAGGATAGTGAGATTCAGCCCTGCCTCCAGCTCCATGGTGAGCCAGGAGTCTGCTTGAGATTCTTTACCCCTTTCCCTCTGCCCCTCCCACTCTTAACCTCTCTCTCTCTCTCTCCCCCCCCGCTAAAATAAATAAACAAATCCTTTTTTCAACTAACATCTTCTTTCTTTTAATTTAAAATCAATTAACCTATAGTGTATTATTAGTTTCAGAGGTAGTTTAGTAATTCATCAGTTGCATATAACACCCAGTGCTCATTACATCGAGTGCCCTCCCTGATGCCCATCCCCCAGTTACCCCATCCCCCCACCCACCTCCTCTCCAGCAACCCTCAGTTTGTTTTCTACAGTTAAGGGTCTCTTATGGTTTGTCTCCCTCTCTGATTTCGTCTTATTTTATTTTTCCTTCCCTTCCCCTATGTTCATGTTTTGTTTCTTAAATTCCACATGAGTGAAATCCTATATTTGTCCTTCTCTGACTGACTTATTTTGCTTAACCTAATACCCTCTTGTTCCATCCATGTCATTGCAAATGGCAAGATTTCATTCTTTTTGATGGCTGAGTAATATTCCCATATATACACATATACACACACACACACACACTCCCTCTTCTTTATCCATTCATCTGTAGATGGACATCTGGGCTCTTTCCATAGTTTGGCTATTGTGGACATTGCTGCTATACACATTGGGGTGCATGTGTGTCAATAAACAAATCTTTAAAAAAAATAGGGGGGAGAGAGAGAGAGAGAAAGAGAGCACGCACAACCTACCAGGCCAACTCTCATGGAATTTACACAAACATTTTTCTTTTACTTTTATTTTTCAAGTGTCAAGAGAATCAATTTTGGAGCAGGCAGGCTACAAAAAGATGCTTTTGTTCTCTCAGCCTAATCATATAGCTACTAAATGCAGAGGGAAAAAAGAAAGCTTTGGATGGGAATTGATCTCCAAAATGTTTGCAATTATCTGAAAGGGTACGTGTTTTCTTTTACACACACCACACATACACACATATACATACATACACGTAAACACTATGGTTCTTTAGTCTTTGTACTTATTCTGAAATCTAAAATCAATTTTAAAAGAAAAACGAAGGACTCGCAGCCCCAGACAGAGCACAAAGTTAGTGATTTTTTCCCCCAGCCATGTCATGAGCTACTGTTGCCACTTGTCATTGTTCTGCAGCCCCAGACAGAGCACAGAGTTAGTGACTTTTTTTCCCCCAGCCATGTCATGAGCTACTGTTGCCACTTCTTATTGTTTTAAAGTAAATGCGGGCTTCCAACAAGTAGCTTTTACATTACTCTTATTCTCAACTACTCTGTAGAGAAGTAGAAAACCACCAACACATACATTACTTGGTATAATAAGGGCATGCTTAGAATGATACCTGGAAGGTGGGAGCTCTCAAAAATCTGTGAGATAAATGATGTTTGAAATGCAAAACTTCAGACGGACTCGCCATGTCCAAACCTCACCAAACAGATGGAAGAAGAGGCATTCACTTCACTGGGCGAGGGCGCAGTCCGTGCTGAGCGGCTAAGGAGGTTGTGATGAATGCCTCCCCAGCCCCACCCCGCCCCCGCCCGGGGAAGGGTTAACCAGACAACCACTAGGGACAACCACGTCTCACTACCTTTGTCACTGAACCGACCTATTGTTGAAGCCCCGATGGAGCAGTCCCCAGTGAGGCAACATCCTGTTTGAATCATTTAGGCCGGGCCCCAGGCCAGCCCACACAGCGCATCAGTGTGAGAGCGCCTCGCTCAGTCGTAACCATTTCCTGGCGCTACAGCCAGGCCAACCCGTTTCTCAAACACCCCCCCCCCCCGGCCCCCGGTTACAGTCGGGGAGGGCAAACGGCCCCACTTACCAGGAGGCTAAATCTACGGAGCCTAGTTAGGCCACTGTTTCACCTGCGTGGCCAATTAGCTTCCTTCCCCGAGCCAGACTAGTTCAACAGGTTTCCTCGCACGCGGCCGGGGCCTCCCGGGTTGGGGCAGGAGCCCGTCACTTGGCTTCGGCCCGCCCCTTCCCTCCCTGGCTCGCACGCCGGCGCCGACCAATCGCCGCGGGCCGGACGTGTCCAGGTTGGCTGCCCCGCCGGGCCGCGCCGCGCCGCGCCGGGCCGGCCTGGATGCGCCGAGCGCCTGAGCGCGCGCGGGGAGGGCGCGGGGAAGGCGCGGTTCGCAGGGCCTGCGCGCCGGGCGCTGGCAGCCGCTGGGAGCGGGGGACGCCTGAAGGTGCCCTCCGCACGCGGCCCCGATGACCGAACTCCAGCAAGATGTGGAAGACACAAAGCCTGCCAAAGTGCTCGCGAAGAGAGAGAGCAAAGTTGGCGCAGCCCAGTAAGTATTCTCCGCGGGGACCTAGCCCCGGTGGCGGAGAGCGCGCAGCCCAAACGCCTCTGCCAGGGACCGCCTTGGAGTGGAACTTGAGCGTGGACAGACGGCCCTGTGGCTGGAATTCTTTCGGGGGCGCCCGGTCGCTTTTTTTTTTTTTCCCCCCCTCTCTCTCCGATGCTGTGTCGGAGGAAAAGGCACGGCAGCCTTTTAGGAATGTACTGCAGCTTGCAGTCCGGTGGGGATGTGAAGGATTGGAGCTTTATCATTCCCAAGGGAGGTCTGGGGCAGGCGGTCAGATCTCTGAGGCAGGTCAGGAAACAGCGCTAAGGTTTATTTCTGTTGCCCTACTTCTTCGTGACGTGTGTGAAGATGAAGTTGTCTCCTAGATGGCATCTGGTCGTTACCTGACCGGTGATGTGTGTTTTGTCATTTGATTCAGAGCTTCAGGGTGTCTTTCTCCCATCCCCTTCACTGTTTCCCCTCAAGAGAGGGGGAAAAGTGGTGGAAAACATGAAATACGCTTTATCTTTCCCCTTAAAGACTGACTTTGCTTGGGAACTTGATACAAACTTGTTAAGCACTTTTTTTTTTTTTTTTTGAGAGAGAGAGGGTGTAGGAGTGGGGTGGGGGAGCACAATGAATATATAATAATATAAAACACTTCAAATATTGGGTTGTGACTGTCCTCTTAAAAGATTCATGTTCATAATAGGATTTGCGTATTGTTGGGCCTATAAACTCTTCTGGTTTCAGAAACTGAAAACTGAAATATTTGGATCACAAGGATTAGCTTCCTGTAATAAAACTTATTTATCTTCCCCGTACTACTTTCTTTTTAATCCCAAAGTAGTATTTCCATGATTGTTATTCCCAGACGTTCTTGTTTGAAACAGGAAAAGAATCTTTCAGCATTTGCTTTTTTTCTATATACTGTAACTTTAAGTGGTACTAAGATAAATATATAAATTGTTAAGATGAATAAATAAGCCCAATTTTTTGTTGTTGTTGTTTTTACCAGCCTGTTGGGGGTACCTAAAAAATAGTTAAAATTCTATCTGCTTCATTTCAACATGTACTCATTTTTTGTGACACAGCCTGGTTCCACTTAAAGTCTGGTGTTTATAAAAGCATCTTCCATCTGTGTATCAGAGTTTGGGCTGAAGTTTTGGAAGAAGAATAGCTTTTATTAGCTGCTTTGATTTATTATTTCAGAGCCTTTGGTCATATTCTCTTCCAGTGTCTGCTTTCCTTGGCTACCCTTTCTTCTGCCCCTCAAGCTTTGTCAACTTAAGCTGATACTCTTTCCTCTTCAATGATAGATAACACATGATTGAGGGGAAAAAATCCCGTAGGTATAACCCTCACAAAATGTTTTTGTTTTCTTAGCCCAAAATAAAATCCCAACTCTATTCTAATCATTCAAGCCCAAGAAGAAGGTAAACTAACAAAGGACATCTATCTCCTTTGCACATTCTTTTATAAGCTTCTCTTAAAAAGAGGCATTGTGGCATTCTTAAGCAGCCTTGATAGACATTTGAGGTGACAGGAGTGTTAAGGGGCACAAACAAGGCTGGAGCCCAGGACTGTGAAGCCCTAGTCCAGAAGTCAGCCCCAGGCAGTGTTAAGTTCCAGTTACACAAAGCAGAATGATTCAAGTACACCCAACAGCTCCTAAGTGTTTACATCTTCACATTCCCAATAGTCTGCTCAGTTAAGGAGATCACGTTTTAGTAGATGGAGAAAGTCTGTTATCTGTTTAGATGAATTCTCGTAACTTAAAACTCTTCAGACATTGGCAAAATAATTTTATAGGAGATAATCATAACCATATTAAAGCGGAAGACCCCAAAGAGCCAGACCTTCGTTCGGAACACCTAGTTTGACAAATTCATTTTAGTTCAACAAATATTGGGATACCTACTATGGGCTCCATAATGGTGGGGAATACAGAATGAAGGTGATGTGGTATCTGCCATTCTGGAACCCAAGAGCCGTGTTGAGGAGAGACGTACATATATGGATAAATAGATCTGTATCCATATATATCTATTACTGCGGGTCGGAGGACATTGGTGTCCGTGGCCATATTAAACCCATTAAACAAGATACCACTATAAAAGGTTTGGCCTGTAACTGAATCCTCTCCACAGTTAGGATGTTTGCCCATTTGGCAATCTTTAGTAAATTTTTCTTGGTTTATGGAGATTTTGTTTGTTTTGTTTTGTTTGTTACAAAGTGGTAATTTGCTGGCCTGCTCAAGTCACTTCTGAGTCAGTCGAAGACTTTAGACACTCTCTACTTCCTGAGCTTTTGAACTCTTGCTATGGTAACAGAGTAGGACTGATTTTAAGAGGGAGGTAGATACATTATCAGTGTTATATGTTTTGTGATAATTGCATGTTCAAAATCATTTGAGGAGCACAATTTTGATGCTTAGAAACCCAGTCTAACTTCTTTGTTTTGAACTTTGTAACTTTAATTATCACTAAGCTCAGAGTCGTTGGGAGTCCAAGGGTCCCTAGGGACATTTTCTTCTCAAGTGTTAGAATGTCTTGCTCTTCCTACACAGCCCTCATCACCTAGAACGCAGACTCGTAATTAATCATAGCTGGCTTTTACTGAGAATCCTCGCTTTACTGAAAGGCAGTGTGCTCAACACTTAACGTTCATTTTCGTACAGGATTAGGCAGATACTGTCATCTCCATTTTACAAATAAGAACATGGAAGGTCTGAGAAGTTAAGGAACTAGGCAGAGACCCAGTGAATAGAGGACAGCTCAAATTCAAGGCCGGGACTGCTTGCTTCAGAGCCTGAACCTGAATACTTTATCCCTACTTCTGTACTCCACAATCTATGATGGTCCTCCCGACCTCCTCTCCTCTGCCAAGAAGGTCAGACCTTTCATGATCTGAGCACACTTAAACCATTTCAACCTCAATCCTAATATTAGCATGCACATCTTTTATAGCTAAACAATTGCACTAGCGGCCCTCTACTAAGGAGGTTAGGATGCAGAAGAATAAGGAACAGGTATGCCAAATGTACTTCTGAGTAAGGTTCCCTTCATTCTCTCCTTCTCACCTCTGTACCTTTGCTCAAGCAATTCCCTCTCTTCTTTATCTCAGTATACTTCTACAAATCAACTCAAAATTAGCTTCCTTTAAAGTCTTTCCTTGTCACTGGCCATACTTAGCTCTTCCTTATCTGGGCTTACCTTGCATGTATGTGATCGATCCCAGAGAATTTAGCTGCCACTATCATTGCTGTTAATTAACAGTCATGTTTACTGAACATTTATTATGTACAAAGTACTGTTTTAAGTTGTTAACAGATATTAACTCACACACTAATCCAGAGTATATTAGTTAACCTTAAATTGATTGCAGACTCTGATCACATTTTTTCTTACTGAATTTCTCAGAGGGCCCAACAAATAATCGCTTCCGATAACCATCTGTTGGTGAGCAAGAGAGGCTGAGACCCCAGCCCACTAATTAAGGTATCAAATATACTTATAGCTGACACTCCGCTTGACTGTCTCCGGGGAAATCTTACTCTTTTAGAATTTCTTAAATTTTCTATCAGTAGCATTTAGAATTTTTAGGTACATTGACTTGCCCGAGAATTCTGACTTATTCATCTTTATGTTAGCGGTGAGGTGAGGCTGCCCATTTACTCATCACCAAAATGCATATTTGATTTAAAAAAATAACTCCCTTCCTTACCAAAAATTGTTAATCTAGCTGTATATTTCCTTTTGAGATCCTAGTTTTTCCCTTTCAGTACTTTTTTCATTCTGAATGTTATGTTCCCCATATATAGACATTTCTAACAAACCCTAACTTTTTATTTATTTATTTATTTTTTTTAGGTTTTATTTATTTGAGAGAGAGAATGAGAGAGAGAGAGAGAGGGCACATGAGAGGGGGGAGGGTCCGAGGGAGAAGCAGACCCCCCGCCGAGCAGGGAGCCCGATGCGGGACTCAATCCCGGGACCCCGGGATCATGACCTGAGCCGAAGGCAGTCGCCCAACCGACTGAGCCACCCAGGCGCCCCAAACCCTAACTTTTTTGACACACATTTTCTGAGATACACTTTTATTTCATAAACTCTCTTGTAGATCTGATTTATTATTATTTTCAGTGAATTGCAAAAAGTATGTAAAACGACTGATATATTTCTGGACAAAAGTTATCTTGATTCATATTTCAAATAATGAATTCTATCACATGTAACATATTTATAATGCAATTTTAATTTTTAACATACTTTAATAATTTGAGATGTAAGAATTCTAGACATTTATTCAACTCGATATATATGGAGAAAGGATGGATGTAGACAACATAAACATTTACCTTAAAAGGAAACTCTCTTGTATTAGCAAGAAGAAATAATGATTTTAGGGACATGTTTGACATTAGTGAATGCAAATAAAACTAAGTGAACGTGAAAGCATTTATCATGCAAACAGAATAAGGGTTGAAGTTAAGAATTGGTCTTGCATTGGAAACAAGAGGAGCAAAGACAAATAATGTTTGAGGATAGCTTGATTTCTTAGTGCTTGCTTAATTCCAAACTTCCAAAGTGCTCATTTAGAAAGAAAATCTCCATATTGTATATTACCTACATATTATCTATCTTTCCATGTGTGTATGTGTGGGTGTGTCCACATTTTTCTAAAATTCTAATTTCCAGGTCACCAGTTCTGACAGGTTATCTGATGTACTTTTTAATAGAAACTTTGGAATAGGAAGAAAAAATTGTAACATTAGAAACTATTAAAATTTTATTAAACAATTGGAGGAGTTTGAAAAGATGGAGAAAAATTAAATAGTGTGCTTGTCTAAAATGTTTTTGGAAAGGAATTTAATGAATCAAATCAGTCCTCTAGCTAGAGGGTACTATCCTAGGAAATTGCTGATTTAAGGTAGTTCATAAAGATGTTGAGAATGCAGGCTCGGGCCTACTTTACAATAAGAAAATAGAGCAATGATTTTT